GTTTCATATGAAGTTTATGCACTAGGGTTAGGCTAGCTATGTGAGTACATTAGATTATTTATTTTCTTAGTTTTCGATTTTCTAATGCTCAATGAGATCGACTATGCAAGTCCATTGATCTGACGGGGTGGAACCAACAATATGGGCCAATGGCTCAATGACGGTATGTGACGCTAACGAGTCAGGCAATGTACATGGATGATCTAGCGTAGAAATATGGGGAACGCGAAGTCCCTTTCCTTTTTGTCGCAATATCCCTGTCCTTGCTCCGTGCTTCGTACGGGGCACTCTTGTTTCTCTTTCTTTCTCTTTCTTTCTCTACACGGTTTATACAATAAAGTATCCGCTTCCAAGGTTCAAGGCGGGTCAACGGTTGTTCCCGTCCTCGGGGCCAGTGGGGCCGCAAAACAGGAGTTTTTGCTTTCAATTTGTATAAATGATCTCGTTCCTGGGAAGGAGTAAGGGATATGAGGCAATGAGCTATATGTACGGATATCTACGGGGTACCTTTTGGGAGGGGAGTACGAGGTACAACAAGCTTCCAGATTCAGATAATAGGACGGGGCCGTATGACCATCCAGGGCGTAAACCAATATGGCAACTAAGCCGAGGCTGAGGTCTGGAACATCTTCTTTCTGTACTTTTCTTTCTCGCTCAGTCTCCCTCTTTTCTCTTTCTCTTGGTCTTTGACCTCCCCCCGTACATATGTGGAGTGAAGCTATTGCCTAATCAAGTTACCCCCACTCAACCTCGGGCGTTCTCCGAAGGCTTGCACGCCAACAGTGGATGTGGACACGAGGAGAAATTGTTTAAGCGGTGTTCGTCGCATGAGGGAAATTCCGCCAGGCACCACCCCAACTGCTGCACGACCACTTCTGGTCCTGATGGTACTAAATATACCAATCAAACACAATCGAATGAATTGCCGCAGTCTTGCGCATGACACTAGTACTAGTCGGATCATCGAAACAGAGTTTCGCGGCTTCCACCTTCCTATTGGATGCGCATAGGCTCCATTCAACTCGTCCAACCCATCTCTCCAATTAAAATATCCAGATGATGGCATTCCAACATACTTTGTATAACGGGAAAACAAAATTGACCTCTTTTTCGCTCCACTTGGTGTCGGTTCTGTTCGGTCACTTTCACCCCCAACTGCCCCCAGTAGGGATAATCGGAATTTCGTCGGCATTGGTCACGAGCTCTTATTATTCCCGGGCTATGTTTGGGATTTAGTGGGGAAGTATCAAAATCTGAAACATGTCTCTTTCGAGATAATATGACGCACGGTATGGAGTATGCGAAATAGGAAAGACATAGGTACATACTGTACGGAGTAGCTGGTCGAGCAAAGCTGGGACAACTCAGCCTGACAAATCAGGCCGCCGATACTACCTAGGCAGCTATGTTGTACATCAAAATCCCTCTATACTTGGCCACTGAATCAGGAGATTACCTGGACAGCCGCATTCAACTTAGGTAAGAGAAATCAAAGGTGATCCCTCTGCCGAAACAAGCGATGGATGGGCTTTATTTTCATATGACACGGGCTAACACGTACGCGATCGGCATCCAGCTCAGTGGTGGATTGTGGAAAAAAATCAATCTCAAGAAAGTGATATTCATGAGGTTCCGCTTTCTTCTCAGATCCGCCCGAACCTTCTAAAAGAAGGCCAATCAAGGCCCAGCGTATTTCGCTTATTTCTATCGTGAGAGTTGAGAAAACTTCACATCTCAGTGTTTCCGGACATCAAATTCCGGACATAAGGACTTACGAATTCCTTTGGCTTAATTGGCTACACCCTATGTTTGCCAATTCTTGAAACAATGCCAGATCAAGGAGATATTGTCATGGTCTGCGCGGAATCTATCCATTCCCTGTGCGAGAATGACTAATGAGAAGTCTTATTGCTTGACATTCATGGGACAGACATATCGCCGTATGATCTGGGGTGGCCCCAGAACCTCAAGTTGTCCGTATATCTGCCCAACCTAGCAGCCCAAATGGCCGCACTAATGTTCTTCTTTACGTTGGAAGCTTTCATTATATCCAGGATATTGTCTTGCATAGTCTCAAGACATGCAATCATACCAGGTTGGAGGAGTAGGCTTATATGGAGCTTAGGGTGCGCAGAAATAAAATGACGGCACCCAGACTACTATCTCACCCACCATAGCATACGAAATCCAGTCACAGTCAGAACGTATTCCCTCGTATGTTAAATGAGCCACACAATCCACCCTCTAGACCGCATCCTGATAGATCTCTCAGTCAGTAAGAAGTACCCCCTTGGTAGCAGGAGATACGAAGCTCAAGCTAACTGATAGTCGAACTTGACATATTGTCTACACCATCTTGATAAAATATACCAAATTCCATAGAATCGATATCTCGGATTTTCATGATTTCAGAGATCTTGGAATGAATGAATACATATCGCCATTCTTGGATGTACTTGTTTTGATAGTTGGTGGCTTGAATAGCTTCTTGCGGGCTTACCAGGGCTATGCAGAATTTACGCAGAACCAGTTTGCAGTGTGAGTCCCCCAAATTACTCTTGAAAGTTATGCAAAGGTCGAAAATATTCCACAGTTTTCGAGCTTCTCATATTAGTCCGGACCGAAAACCGACCTTGGCTCTCTCGGTATGATCACGACAGCTCTGTATAGCGTCGGCATTCTAACAGATAACAGTATATTTTGAGCGTCAGTTTTTCTTGAAATTAAAAGACAGCGAGATGTAAACAAAACGTATACCTATGTTGCAAGGAATAGCATGAAGTCGTCATCCCTCTTGAGCCTTTCCTTCACGATCACGTAGTCGTAGTCGACTAGACGGACAGAAATTTATGTTAGATCTTGTGTGAACCAGGCCACCTATTTCTCCGTTTTCTCAAAGTTTCCTTCGACACATTAACTTTAAGTGTAGCCTTGTATCGGGAGAAACTGAATCGATGAATATTTTGTTGGTGGCCCAAAATAAGCATGAAATCCAGAATTATCCAGTGTTGACTCGGTCTCTGTTTCGAAATGAACCTGAAGCGCAGTGATTGATTGTCATTCCCATGGTCATATATCGCGCACTATGATCTAACACTAGACAGTGTCATTACCAACCAAAATAATCGCTTCTGTTTGGGAGCCATAGCCGAAAGAGAACCGAGGTGGAATAAACCTCCATGCACCAAGCAAATTTCTAGAAACTTTCTAGAACCAGGCATATCGCGCATGCTGATCCGATACTTGTTAGTCCAGAACGCATGAGTAATACTTTCAGAGAATCAAACTCTGGAGTAAAAGGAGCACGAAATTCATGTACTATATAGATATTTCAATTGATTCTAATTCGATAGTGACGCCTAGTATTGCAGCGGACGGACGGACGGATCATGCACACACTTCACTAGTTCAACGGAGAACGTAGCATGGATACACCGTTCAATGCCCAACCGGTTCAAATTGGGCAAGGGTATACTTGACAATCACTAAGGAGCCTGTTCCAGCGTTGATTTGCCATGGTATCTAGGGCTCTTCTGTTGGGTTGTGAACATATATGCCTTGCCTAGTTTAATGAGCTTGATATAACCCTCGCATATCTCCTAAAAGTAGACCCTAGAATAGAATGTTGTGTCAGACTGAATTTTAAGCAAATTCTAGTCCTGCAGAATTGAGTTTTGCACTGCAGACTCTTTCGAAGTATTCGTACCATCGAATTGACAGATCAGAAATTCATATCTCCTCGGCACCGAGGTGTTCATGAGATAGTAGTTCGGCAAAGCTGACATTGCATGACCAATATGCACATACCCGGCCCGGGGACGACTCTGAGGGAAGCTCTCGGCGATTCCATTCGGGTTGTTTTGAGACTAATGTTATACCTCGCACCAGATGAACGCCCTGTGAGTGTCTTCCGGCGTACGACATTGAGGATCTGCACGAATATCTGAATCTCAATAGAACCTCAAAGTCGAACCAACGGCCAATAAAATTTCGTCGGATCCTTATTCCCACGAAGAGCCTCCCAAATCACGAGGTTGATTCAGGAAGGAATAACCAGCAACGTAAGAAAATATGACGGGGTAGTATGTAAACAAATCTTTCGTGGTTCAATACAATGATTCAAACCCAGAAACAGCATGATCCACGAAGCGAGACAGCCATTCGTAAGATTGACAAAGGGTCGGAAATGTCGGAAGATCGTTAAAGAGTCATCATCACACCTCGCTTGGGACGGATACTTCGATGAACAAAGTACAATACCCATATCCATCAGGGGCGACGTCACAATTACTGGTCTTAAGTATCGCTTTCTCATTCCCATTGCCCAGGTACCCCTGAAAGAGGTGAGGTTCTAGGTATTAGCCCTGGATAGTGGAAGTTGGAAGAGTCAAGGCTAAAGCGACATAGCTTGAGTCCGAGGTTATCCGCCTACCCACAAGAAAAGCCAGTATGCAGAGCTCCGCTACGTATACACGTAAAAGCATGTGACGCAAAAGCAATGAGTGTAAGTACTGACGACGCATTCCAAGCCAGTTCTAAGGTGCCTGCGACATTTTTTCTACACAGCGATGCGTCTAATTATATGAGGAGCACAATACAATTCTCATAGGATAGAAGCAAGTCAATTTGACAAGACACAAGTAGCTCATTTTAAAATAAAAGCAGCATCCCAACCGTGTAGACCGATCCCAATGCAAAAGGTTCCATTAAACCGTAGCCACAACCCTATCACATGAAAAACAAGAAATCGAATTGCCCCGACCCATGCAAGATGCTAATAATGACAAATACAAGTTTAAAACAAAGGATATCACTGGAATAGCAAGACTCCCCTTTGCGTGGAGCCACAGTAAGTAAAGAAACATGAACATGAAGAAAAAGCGTTAGGTTAAGCTGGGCATCAACCATGTGAAATGGCTCGGGTTTGAGATGTAATTTTTTTTTCTTTTCTGTTTTCATCGGTTGAGTGAATGCATCAAATAACCGCTTGATTGAATGCTTCATGCAATGAAGGCACGGTCCAGCTGGCGTAGCGCCCTTGTGTCCTCGCCTCCGAATCCGATCTTCTCATTGGGGATATCCCGTGGCCCCTCGGCGAAAGAACTCTGTGCGGGGGTTCCGTTTGAGCTCTGTGCAGGGCCACCAGGAGAGGCAGTTGAGGAAAGAGGGGCCAGCGCTGCACCGTTCATTAATGAGTTGATGCCGGGAACTGCATTTCCAGCACCCGAGGGATCGGAAGACTTCGGTGACGCGGCGATAGGGTTGAGAGAGGGTAACGCGGCGGGATGCTCTTGCTTCACTAGGTGAGGGCTGTGTGCATGTCCATTTGACTGCGCCAGGGACTGGACTGGCACGCGCGGCGATGACATGCGAGTATCAACTAGCGCATGTCCGTAGACAGGTGGAGTGCGTTGCTCGTGAGCGTGGGCATGAGCTTGAGCTTGAGCTTGAGCCTGGTGAGCGTGGGCCTGAGCTTGAGCATGGGCGTGGGCATGGGCGTGAGCCTGGTCGTGCATTGAGCGTGGCGACCGGTTCATGTAGCTTGGTTGTTGTTGTGGCGGCGGTCCAGCTGGAGGTAATGTTGATTCCATATGAGGTGGACGATCATATGGGCCTGTCATCCCGTGTGGAGGTGGTGGGAGTCCACCGCCATGTTGATGAGGTGGGGGCTGATGATGTGGCGGGCCATAATGAGGATGTCCATTGGCACCTACCGGGGGGAGATATGAAGGGCCAGGGCCATACTGAACCGAGACAGTCGGTGGCGTGGCGAGAGGTGTGGGCGGCCAAGCATAAGCAGGAGGGTATGGCTGTGCATGGGTGACGCGTGGGTATGCGCCGAGGGGATGAGGAGTAATGGGGTAAGCAGCGCCAGCCATAGGTCCACGGGTAACGACAGGGAGATTTTGCTGATCATTAACTGTCGATTCGGGATAGAGACCTTTCTGGGGTCGAACATGACGCAGCGCAGGATCCGAAGTGGGTTGTTGTAGGTTGGCGGCAGAAGGGTGGGACCGTGAATAGTAGCTTATCAGATGCAAGTGTTGACCGTTGGATGTCGTGATACTGAAAGACTGCTTCATCAAACCATCTGGTTTGTAACGATATCCATCTGGTCCCTCGTCTGTTCCATCGGCGCGCTCATCGTCACTTCCCCGACTCTCAGGTGTCTTGCCTCCTCGGGACGCAGAGCCTTGAGAGACACTACCACCTCCGCGCTTGCCTTCCATTTCGCGATAAGTCAAAAAGCTACCAGATACACGGCTGGCACTCCATGACTTCCCGTCGGTCCATCGCCGCATACCCGCTTCTCGCTCATCCCATACAAAGACCGAACCGGAACGTATCGATTGTCGTTCTTTCTCCGATAATCGTCTTTGCACGCGAGGTAGAAGGCCGATCCGACAAGCCTCGAAAAGAATAATAGCGTCCGCAGGTGTGCGAACGTGCCCGTAATACGTCTCCATCCAAGCTCTCGAGTCAACCGACGACCCCGGTTGATTTGGTCTGATTGCCAGGTTGAAGGATAGAAGGGTTTTAAGGGTAAAGAGAGTACGAAAGGTCTCTGAGAGAGGGATGAGTTAGATCTAAGGGGAAAGAAAAGAGGCACAAGTGGAGAGGAAGAAAATAGGGTTCAGGTCCAAATATAAAAAGGAACCAGGATCCGAGTCAGTATGGGGTAGCCTGTAGACCAGTGTGGATGGGTAAAGGCCGAGCTTTTACGTCACCCAAGACGGTTAGACCGGGTCTTTTTTTCTTTTTTTTTCTCTTTTCCCGTTTTTCTTTTTTTTTTTATCTGATTCAAGACTTTGTCCCAAAATGGAAGATCAAAAGAGAACTGCACAGACTGATGTGGAGCAAGTGGGCTTGAAGGCGTAGGAATGCCGAACAGACAAGGGAGAGAGCCAAGGCTGAAAAGACACAAAGAGACAGAGAGATAGTGGGGGACCTACTTTATGACTCCACAAGGTTTCTGGAGGAATGGCTTAGCTGTTCTTGTCTCGGAGCTCTTTTGGAATAAGAGAGTGAGAGAGAAAGAGGGAAAGCTGGAAGAAAAGCTGGAAGAAGAATAAGGGAAAAGAAGGAAAAAGGAAAAAAAAGGGAGAAATATTTCAGTCTAAATGGCCCCAAAGCTTTATAAGAAACAATGAAGAAATCATAAAAAAGAAGGTTAAATAAGGGAAGCGGAGAGAAGAAGAGCGGGCCAAGCGATCCAAGCGAAAAGATCGAACGGAACTTGTTAAACGCCGAGGTTCCAAGCATAGAGAGAAGAATTATTAATTTATTTTACTCTAATTACTTTATTTTAATTTATTGGGCTTGTTTAGTTCACCTTACATTCGGGTAATACTCCGTACACATAGGAATAATGAAAATCTTAGAAATCCACTCGAACTATTTATACATGGGAACCTTGGAAAAGGAGATGAGTCTCGACATGGGGCTGAGGTGGCACGGCTATACGGAGTACAAAGGCTTCAATATTGTGTAGCCTAGGTAATTTATGTGTAAATGTAAATGTGCGAAAAGTATAATTATATAATCACGTCATTGATATTTAAAGTCGGTCGACCTAATGTCTACAGAATTGGATTTTATATTTCAATTCTCCTGTTACGGAGAGTGAAACAGTTTTCTTCTTTTTTTATCGGATTGACTTAAATCCATGGCAATTCTTGGCTCGGCTTTACGGGGTTTGGAAAACCTTGGAAGGCAGTAAGGTTAATTTGGCCCCTTCAAAGGCCCCATTCCTGATAGATTAAACTGAAATGGATAACCTTGGAAAGTATATAATAAAGGATCAACATTAATAATAAATAGAGTACAGTGTATTCCGTACTCTGTATGGTAATAATGCATAAATAAAATAATTAAACGCCAAAAAAGAAAAAAAAAAAAGGTTTACACATAAAATGGTCTGTGTCAGAAAAGTGGCGCTCTGGTCGCAAAAAAAGGTTAGTGCGGAACTCTTAAGCTTAATCCAACACGAGGAGGCCGGCGCTGAACTTTATGCTCGCTTACAGAGGCCATATCCACCCCTCCTCCACTTTGATTTATTTTCATTCTTGGCAAAAGGGGGGGGGGGGGGGCCACTTCTACATTGTAGTGGGACTTTAGGTTGTCCGTCAGATAAACGTACATCGTACACAACGTAGTTAAACATATATATTACATTTCGGACTTCCAATCGGACTTAGTAAGCTTAATTCCAATGGTTGCCATTCTCAGACAACTAGTTTATAGTATTTATTATTTATTTTTTTAACCTACCAGGGAAGAGAAACCAGCCCACCTGACTATCGGGATTTAGCACCCAATGCAACCGAGGATCCCCCCCCCATTGATTAATAATAGATAAAACAGGGAACAGGGTTTGGGCGGTCCTGTCCGATGTGGCTTTATCCAGTACCCTATTCCTTGGCGGAAAGTCCATACGAGTCACATCCAAACAAGGTTGATCTTAGCGAATCTAGCCAAGTATTTTAATTTATATCCGATATCTGTTATCACATAGACTAAAAATGATAGAATCCATAAAAAAGCCACTGTGGCCATATCCTCGTGATTCGTATTCGTATTTGGTCCAGTGACGGTTTGTTTTAATTTTAACCGCGCTGACCACAAAGCTTGACAAGATCCTAGTCCAGATTAAAGCAATAATGCGAAGAAAAGAAAATATGAAAAGTGAAATGGATGCAGTTTACTCCATACGGAGGATTGTGGATCAGACAAGGAATCTCTAGGTTTCAAGCCTGTTGATCCAATGTATATACGTACATCGTTTGCGCGCGTAAAAAGATGCATGGCGAAGGAAGCCACGTAACAGGATCTTTATGGGCAAATACACGATGGGTGACGACTGCTGCTATACTAACTACAGGCTATATGTTCATAGAACCCACTGCTTCGCATCTGACTTGTATCGCTCGTGTTCGATCAAGATAACAATAAATAATGGCTTGAAATTAGCATGATTCTCTAAACTACCAAGCGGTCGGCCATATCATGATTCGGCTGTATCATATCCGCTGACACCTTGACTCAGCGATAAGGTTAGCTAGTCCGAGTCTGCGCTCCGTACCGTTCATGTTCGCCGTGCAGTTAGCCTTGTACTTAATTAGCTTTGCAGGTGGGTGGGGAGGGCCTCACATTCTAGATCCAATATTGGACCCTAATACATCGCATAAGGCGTGAAAGATACCAGAAACGTTCGGAAACGGCCGCCACATTTATATTCTGGTCATCCATGAACATTTGAACTTGTGCCATAACTCTATTTTGATTCAATATGTCATGCACGGGCCGAATAATGCAAGCCAGTGAAAGCGTATCGCCAACAAAGTCCCTGTTGCACAAGGATTACTCTATTAGGGTTCGGGGGAGCTGGTTAATCTTGGCAGCTGATTTTCTCCTTGGCTTCAGCCCTGATTCGGATTTTGGAGTTTAGAAGGCTTGGGGGTCCATGTGTTTCTATCCCAACAAAAGAGCATGACACAAGTCGATCAATAGTGTCCAACGTACCGTAACTATTTCATACATACATTGTAATTGCCTGCATTCCATGTCTCACATGGCGCCGTCCTGTGTGACTAGAATACCGTCTTGACCCGGTCTTCCATCTACCAGGTCTACGGAGTGCGCAAGGTCGCACCGCGTTCTTGTTCTAAGTTCAATGGAATAAGAAACAAGGCTTGGATGACCAAGGTAGGGAAGATATAGTGTAGTGCGTATGATTTAACATGCAAACTATAAGGATTAGCGGACTGGTATTCCGTACAATTATGCTGTGTTTCTTGTGCTGCCACAGCCAAAATGGTTCAACGGTTAATGATAGGCTCTGGGCAATAGTCGAGGTTAAATGACGAGGCCCAAGTTCCAATCAGACTGGCGCAGCTGATTATTACAATGTCGAAAAAAGAAGCTGGAATCATTACATTTTCGCCTTAACATTGACTCTGCCTTGATTATCTTCCAATCAACACGATAAAAACAATCATAACAGCGCGAGTTACCTGAAGCATACAACAACGTACAATGTATGAACTTTCTTCAATACGCGTGGAGAAGCTCAGGCCCCGACCGAATTTTTTTTAATTCTAAAGATCGCCTGAATCCACCCTTAGCAGCCGTGATTCCGCAAGTCTTGCCACATTAGGATAGTCTGATGTCTCTCACTTCCCCCAGGCGGAAAATCATCTCCAGTTTATCAGGTATACATCGCTCCCTAACTTATCCCACGCCTAAAAGCATAGTAACACCAATGTCCGGATACGAAGGTTTCTAATCAAAGAGACCCGCCTACTTCACTACAACAAAGAAAAACAAATATAGTAGATTGCGTATGCTCACAAGGTCTATCCGATTATCCGAAGACTCCTTTTTGCTAAGTGGATCCACAACTCGCTAACTATATCTCACCTGCTGATAGAGTGCCCTTGCGGGATAAACCGACTGTTTCGCCGACCGTGGTTCGTGTGGGCCTTCTGTAACTGTATTCGTTAGCTGCTAATCTATTATTAATGGGCTCGGCTTATATTCGGATTGTTGGATATACGTCGAAGCTGAGGTGTTAACTCCGCTACACAGCATTTGCTTTCATGAATAATCTCCGATTGATGGTCCGATACAAGCGGCCTTACCTTGGAATGTTATAACCGAGAGCCCCAAGTCAGCCAAGGTATTTTAGGCTTTTCTGGATTCCTCCAGTCAGAGACTACACAATTGGATGTAAGGCAACTGACACTAAAAAAAGCCATTACAGAATGGAAAATGACGTGCGATTAACTGTTTTCTTGTATTGTCATGCATTCGTTGCAACCCTGAATTAAAGATTGCCAAGAATTAATTTTGTGAAACGTCACACGAGCTTATCTCCACTAGCATAATTAAGGTATCCATTGTCCAGATGAATAGGGAATGTGCTGGAGTGGTTTAAGGATTAGAATTACTTTCATTTTCATTTTCATTTTTATTTTTATTTGTATTTTTTTACTTTCAATACATTTTGTTTTCGTTTATAGTATTATGATTATGTTTCATTGCATGGGGTCAAAGGGTTTCAATTCAATCTGGTCCAATGTTTGTATGTAACATTGACTTTTTTTCTTTTACTAAGATATTCAACACACCATACTCCATAGTCCAAGAAAAGGCAGTGCACCAACAAATGCTGGTGCCTACCCTAAAATGGCAAGAAACTATCTGGGTAAATCTTGGGGCCAAGACCCCAAGAATTGTAAATGCCAATCTTGAGTTGGCTAGACCCGTGGCCGGTCCAGAGGGGGGGCAATGTCATCAAAGCCTAAAATCCAGTTTTCCCTTTGTGAACCATGGAAACTGTGGCTGCAGATTTATGGTTAACGTTTATTCCGTACCTTTATTTTACTTAACTTTACCTTACTTTACCTGGGCATTTCCAAGGTTCAAACTTACTTTGACCCCGTCTTACATGGACATAAACCATGTGGCGGAATGCATTATGTATTTCCTCGGGGAGTTTTTGAAGCCGAATACGAAGGTTGATCTTGAATATTAATATTAATATTGTCTTAGCTTTGGAGTGTAACTTTGACATACTAGGTAGTAATCATCCTGGATTATCAATTACGGATCAATTACCCTACCCATGCATACTAAAATAATTGGATTTTACTGCGTAATTATATTACGACCACAAATCACATATTCAGTCTGGACTCCGTATGTAGGCTATTTGCAATGTGATACGTCAGGCAAGGATACCCTACTGCATGACTCGTATAAGGCGCGCACTGCCCAAACTTCTTTTTGCTTATGCTTAACCCTGGTAAGGTTGGGGCCCCTTGGCCTGCTGATCCTAGCCCCCTTATTGGCGTAAAAGTAGTGCTCGTTTTGTCAAACTCAAATATATTAATTCAAGGCTGTGCGCCGCCATTATTATTCTATGAGGCTGTACTCATCCTTTCCAATACAATTCTAATCCCATGTTGATCTTTTTTTTTTTTTTTTTTCTCTCTTTTTCATTAACTATACAATCATGGCTTCTCGGCAAAATAACCATCCATAAGGACAAGTGGCAATACAAAATCTATAAATCTAAACTGAAACTGGAATGCTCGGCACAAATAAGCGAGACCCGAGACAGAGTAACTCATGAGCCAAAATGCTCCAAACCCATTCAGGGGACCACGTTCTCTCCGTTGGAGTTCGCCGGATGCCGAGGCTCGCCCTTGAAGTCCGTTGCCGTTGATATCCGTCTCGCTATCCTGTTTCCCAATTAGGATACTGATATGTATCTACTTTTCCAGCAATCATTGGTCGATATACTACCGCCAAGGGCTAGTGCCCCCCGACGCCCCATTCTTTTACATTCGGTCTGTGGGACGCCTCGTTTCCAGGCTATAGTGCTTGGCTTTGCTTGGGAGTCCGGACCTCCGGTGCATAAATCAGGGATAAAATATGCCCGTACATGTGCTTCGTATATAAAAACAAAATACTAGACATACGCTAATATACTACCCCAGCCATGTATGCATGAACAAAGACGTCAAGTCTCCTTCATAGAGCTACTTTTATCGTGAAACGATCGTCCACGCCTGGCGCTCTACTAATGCAACAAGATCTGTGCCTTAATTTTATTCCTTCGGCCAAATTAAACTCAAGCACCCATTCCTTTCGTCCGTGCGGTACTTAGTGCTTGTTAACCTTGTTTATTTTACACTCTAGTTCGTCGAATGTCTTACTCCTAGTTCCTTCGATGTTCAGCCCTGTCCACGAATTTCTGTCAAAATATGGAGTAAGCATACGTGGATCCGCCCGCTGTGGTCAGACTGCTGTCATCATGTCTCGATATCACATAATGATGTCCTGTTCTCGTGCTTGGTATAAGGGCACTGGACTCTGGCATTCCTTCGAATTCTTAGCGTTTCACTTTCTGGCTTCTTCGGCTGGTTGTCTAGGATGATCACTTGGCTGAGCCGTGGGACAGGGGTCAGATTCAATAATGTTAAAAAAAGAATAAATAATACCATTAACCCAGTCATCTTCTTTCTCGGCCGATTATCCGATCATTTGAGCTCCGTGAAGTCACAATTTAAAATTAGAATCTCGGACTAGCAAACAAGATAGGCAAAATCGGCATAGAAAGGTGCGTAAACCCCGAGGTCAATAAGCTCTACGGAGGTGCTCCGCATAGCTTCTAACTCTTATCCGACGGATTACGGAGTATGAAAATGAATTTTTAGTCGTTGCTTCTCATTTCTTTCCCTTGGTTTATCAATCACATGGGAAGTTATGGAGTAACGAACTACGCAAGGCACCTAGGTATGTAGTTATGTAACTAGTATGTTTTTTTTATTCATGTCACTTTGGGGGCCTAATAATTGTGTGAGAGTTAAAAGGAGAATAATATACAAAGTAAGCGGAGCCGGCCACTACCGGTTACTAGGTTACTACCTGCAAGCACTGTTTTTTTTTTTTGTTTTTTGGCTTCATATGGTAAAAGACTTGTATTCTGGCTAGTCAGATTGGGACATATGGTGCGACGGAGGCTCCGTTATGCGGATGTCTACGGATACGTTCCGCCTATTTCGACTCGATTCGGAAATCAATCGGCGACTTTATTCCTAGCGCCGTTTGGGGATATAGTATAACCCATTTGGTACGTCGTACTTCGTATCTTTATTTTCAATGCAGCAAAGCCAGGCTCACTTCTAGATCACACAGTGGATCAACTCATGTCGCTTTAGGTTGGGTTGTTTTCAAACTTCTCTCTTATCTATTTAATTTTCATGCATATTATATTACCGATCTATCATACATTAGCCAGAATGATGCCCCTGATAAGTCTCAGCAATCAGCCCGACCGAAGTATCGCGGGAAGGATACGATATCCCGAACGCTAGAGACACCAGTCAAATATCCCAGGAATCGATCGAATCCGAGCCCGAACCCTCCATGAGGAGCAGAGCCCCAGCGTCTGAGGTCAGCATACCATTGGAGGTGGCTCAGGTCCTCGTCGGGGGTGAGATGAGGGTACAGCGACTCGCCTGAAGCTGGATCACCAGACTCGGGAATCTGTCGGGGCTTGATCAGACCGTGCTCACGCATGTTCTGGATGAGATCGGGCAGGCGATGCTCGCGCAGGGAACCCCCGGCGACTTCGCTGACTTCGGGGAGGAGCAGGTCGAAACATGCCACTGTCTCCCCGGGCGTATTGCTGTCCTCGGCGACCTGCGAAGGGGCCATGTAGAACGGCTTCACGGATTTCGGGTAGTCCGTCACAAAGACAGGACGCCCTTGATGGAGCACCTCGACGATATACTTTTCATGCTCAAGTTGTAAACCTCCATTCCATGTCGGGGGATGCTCAAAGGATGCTCCGTCTTCGGTGACAGCACGCTGGAGCATCTCCACTGCTTGGGTGTATGTAACGCGATGCCATTGTGGCCCATCCATTAGATCAGTCCATCTTTGCCGTAGAGATCCCGTCTCCTCGGCGCTAGTATCCTGGCCTGGCTCGCCAGACCTCTTGGCCGACAAGATCTCTTGGCCCACAGAAGTATTATATAGACGACGCGTCAGATCGCGTAGCAAATGTTCCACTAAGCCAGTAAGCAACTCAAGATCGGACATGAAATTGACCTCGGCTTCGAGCATGTAGAACTCGCTGAGGTGGCGCGGTGTATCGCTCTTCTCCGCCCGGAACACAGGTGTCAATGTCCAGACGTTACCCAGCTCCGCCGCATAAGCTTCAAGATGAAGTTGCGACGATACCGTGAGGTATTTTGGCGCTCGGAAGAAATGCTCGTTCTCGGTGCTGGGTGTAGCAGCACCGCGTGGTGCCAACGTGAACGTCTCACCTGCGCCTTCACAATCCGAGGATGTTATAAGAGGAGGCTGAACTTGTGTAAAAGCTCCATCCGGGTGAGAGTGGAAGACATTGCCAAGTTGGAACATGCACTCGGATCGGAAGCGCGAAAGGAGAGAGTTAAAGGGTGTTCGAATGCGAAGGTGTGGAATCTGGCGCAGGAAGTCGGGGCTGTGGTACTTCTTTTGGATCGGAAACGTCTGCAGCCATAGATATCATGGTTAGTGTGAGGTCTAACGACAGCTAGGGAAAAGCTCTCGGGCTCACCTCTGGGTCCGATGCGCCCACAACCTTGACATCGGTTGTTTGGAGTTCATGAGTTTGCTCTTTACCCGGTGGGCAAGCTTTCCATATGCCCGATATTTCGATCGCAGCTCCGGTTGACAGACTAGAGAAGAGGCGCTTAAGTTAGTCTTTGTTAACAAACCGGTCGAGAATCACAGCTCGCGCGCGGTCGAACGTACTCTGCTGCTTGCGCGGGTTTCAGTATTGCCTGCAGTGGCTCCACGGTCGAGCCATCAGATATTTCTGCGAACGCAAAGCGTTTCTGTTTCCGTACAGACCGAATGAACCCATTCACTTTGATTTCTTGGTCCTCGAAGCTGCTGACTCCACCGTTCTTGCTGGCTTGGAGGATCTGCGCACATCGCACGACAGAATGGGAATTAATTGAGCTATGGGTAAGTCTGCCCACAGATGTGGCGAAGGTTCGCCGCCATATCTGCATTGCTGAAGGTGTGGGTTGGATGATCGGGGAGTTCGGAGGTGCCAGAAAACTTATCGGCGTGAATGTCGGTCCGATTAGCATTTGCAATGTTAATCGGCCCTGTGCTGGTCTTTGAATTTTCTACACAAAACAAATATAAATAATACTGTAATGAATAATAAGATAGTTATTAGCTCTTTGCTGGTATTTTTCCTAACTAAGGGGCTAGTAAGTGAAAAGCCTTGGTAAAGGAGCGAGCATATAGATTAGTAGTACCCTTGAACCTATAGTTGAATTGTTGATCTTCAACCTCTATGATAATTCGAGACGACTGAAATGCGGCTGGATCATCGTTGACTTTGCCCTTGTCGAGGAGTCAATCACAGCGTGTCCGTTGGCAGCCAAGAATGGCATCCAGCCATAGTTACTTTCGAGCCGACATCGGGCATCCCCGTGTCAAGGAGTATCGCCAGTATAGCCTCGTTGTTAACTCAAAGGTCAAGATTGAAAATGACCGTACCGTAATTCGACTCTCTCTCCTTTCGGCAGATACTAAAGAATGCGTATAGAGGACTCCCATCTCGCAGTTCTCTGATATAAAATAAGGTCTGGCTTAACCCTAAGCTAGCTTACCTTCACGCTTGCGAGTGCGACCCAAAAGATAAGGTGGAAAACATCAATTGGTTACTAGAGGCCTATGGCCATTACAACGGCCCAGGTGCCAAACCTACCCAAGCAGCTAGTTTTTTGGGTCTTAGATTTCTCCTTTTCTTCCCATCTCATCAATCCCCGGACACCACTGTTGAAGCAACTGGAGGAGCAACCGGAAGCTGGGTCCTGCGTGGTTGTCAATACGTGCCATATTCCAGCCGGCAAGGTGGACGAAGCCTTTGCTGCGTGGAAAATCGATACCGAAATGGCGAAGAAGCAGCCAGGAGTTATTTCCACCGAACTTCATCGCGGTGTCAATGGAAGCGGCATGATGCTGAACTATGCGATATGGGAGTCTACCGCTGCGTTGAAGGCCTAGTATGATCTACCGGAGTTCAAGGAATCTCTCAAGAACTACCTCTGATGGAACCGAGAGTCGAATTGTCCTCTACCGCAAGCAACAAATTGATGGTATTTGTCTTTCCTAGGCAGACAAGATTCCAAACGTGGATCCTTCTGTGAATCAAGCACTACGCATAGCTGCAACTGGTCGGCATATTAGATTAGTTGAGGAATAACCTTTTTGCCTCACCTTCATCTGGGATTTGGCATCGAAATAATATGGAGGATTCTTGTGGCAAAGAAATAAATATCTTTTTTCCTTTCTGTGTTTTTATTTGCTATTGAGACAGTCACCTGCCTTGGTGCCTGGTTTGTCGTGCTTCACGTAGCTATTTAGCTAGATTCCTGTTTATTTGTAGAGAATCAATCCTTCTTTTCTTCTCTTTGTTAGTAGCCAGACCATTTACTTCATACTTTCTGTTTAGCTTTGTGCATAGATGTAGAGAATCAGTTTCTTCGCCAAATGACCACTACAATTAAAAAGGGTTGTCTAACTATAGACATATTAATATAGGGGATTAATACAAGGGCGGTTATAGAAGCCCTATATAGCTAAGGTAGTCCAGAGGTTATACTTCCTACTATAGTGATATTATAACTAACAAGTCTCAGATTGAAGTACAGGTGCTAAGAGGGACTTTACTTAATATAGTTAGACCACTGAGTGGAATCGTTGTGCTAATAGTATCTTGTTAGAAACCATTCAGTTACTGTAATAGGTATAGCACTAGTTGGATGTTATGTTAGTGGTAACTTTTTCTTTCTGAAAGGCATTTATTTATATCCAAACAAACATGTCTGGCTATAATCTCACTACTAACTAGTATATTATCAAGTGCTGTACAACAGTTTTATATAACGGGTTAGTCCTAATATGTATAGACTTTGTCTTTTCAAGATAGCCCAAATCATGCATTTGACATGGTTATTAAATAAAATAATACAGGGAAGGTCAATTAAAAGGTGGATATACTAACATTGTGTGGGATACATAGTTTGAGGACTCGAAACATCCATGAATAATTCGCTTGGCAAGTGATTAAAACAAAGAGTGAAATTTCAACACTACCGAGAGGAAATGACGCCACAAGGGTCCCAATTAAGCTAAACTGCAGCTAAAGGAATGACTGAGTCATTAAATGACCCTGAAACAAAAAAAAGGAAACAGATGTTCCATGCCTCACTGCGAAGCCCGTCGTTCATAGATCGACCTTTCCTCTTCAATCATATCAATCGCATCCATGAGGTCACCATTTGCCATAGCCGCATACACAGCCATCCTCGACCGTCCACCCGCCCGTTCATCCCCGTAGCCGATGTCGACAAGAGCAGAGGCACATCGTTCGATCGCCGCATCCTCAACCTCAATCGCACTGGTATCAAGTGTCTTAGAGATTTTGGCCATCGTCGCATGTTCTACCGGGAAGCTTCCGGGGATCTGATCGTGAGAAGAGGCGCCATTCCGTTCTCGCCTAGACAGACGCGCCCATGTGTCTGTTTCCGCAGGACCATGCGATCTATCCCCAAGACGACGCATACTTGTGGAATGCCTGAGGGGACTGTGACGGCCAGTCTCCGCAGCATGCCAATGGTTTGGTTTATGAGTCTTGTGCTCAGTGGCTCGACGCCTCAATTTGGGCGCACTCTGGGGGCCATTGAGATCCACCGCTGGGCGCACAGTCTCCTTGGAACTGGAAGAATGGCCAACTTGATCCCAAATTGCTTTGCTATGGTCGGAAGGTCGTCCGGCATCAACGACCAATGATAGATTGGCGGCTGCATCCAGATGAGAAGCTGGTTGAGGTCGACTAAACGCCTTCGGTGTAGGATACAAGGGTAAACCGTGAGTGGAAGGTCCTTCACGGTGCTTTGGGCTTTTTGGCGATTGGCTATGCAAATCACCAGTTATAGGTGCTGTTTCACTGCGTTCCTGCCGGTTTGCAAGTAGTTGTGCCTCCCATTGAGACACAGGTGGGAAACGAGACTCTGTACGCAAATCCGAGGAAACACCCTGACCACTCAATGGATCATTGTGCGGTGCATTCGTCTCGGGTAAAAGCGAGGGGAAACGTGCACTGAATGCAGGGTCCTCGCTTGGAGAATCAAGCAGTGCGGATGACTCTGTCTGATCTTGACCAGGATCAACACTCTGCGTGAGATCTACGAAACTAACAGACTTTCTCCGATTGTCCGTCTTGCCAGGCTTGGATGGACCCTTTTGTTGCTTGACACCAAGCGGGGACCAAACGGCATCGCTCGTCTCAGCCTGAGGGCGGTCTGTCTGAGTGTCGTGTGTGGTTGTACTGGCATTGAGTGAAATCTGCGCCGGACGCACACTTTCGATGGGGGGATGATACATAGGCTCAAGGTTTATCGAGTGTCCGTCAATTACGGCACCTTGCAATGCTTCCATTGCAGCGAAAGCCGGGTAATCTGAGGGGAAATGAACGTAACCAAAGCCTGCGTGTCTTCCTGATTCGGTATCTAGTGGAAGATCCACCTTCACAAGAAATCCTTTGGCAGCAAACACATCCTGTATCATCTTGTCGGTAACCTTGAAACCAACATTCCCAATGAACAAGGATTTAGTTGCTGGACCGTTTTTAGATTCCCCAGACTTGACTTGTGATGTATGTGACGCATTCAACGGGGTATTGAACGCAGGAGGAGGCGGCGCAGGCGCAGGTGGTCCTTGCGGCCTGTAAGTGAAATTCGGCAGATAGGGAGGTGGAGGTGCATTATAGGTTTGGAATGGATTCCAAAATGGAGCAGGCCACGATGGAGGTGCCCAATGATTTGATTGAGCGGGTGTAGGTTGACCCTGACTACTTTGGAAGGGTGGTACTCCTGTTTGTGTGTTATTAGATGGGGTTGATTGGCCTGGGCCTGCTGTTGATTTCTCATTTGTGGCTGCGCTTGAAGGATTTGTATTCCAGGTCTGGGAATACATAGTGCCCGGAGCCGTAGATCCGTTGTTTGCAGCAGTGTTAAAGAATGGCCCGGATGCTCTAGGGTTTGGCATCTCGGAAGTTGAGGTCGACGTAGGGGCTGTTGATGCAGTGCGTCCGAACTCGCTTTCAAATGCGGCAAATAATGTTCTTCCGACCTCGTTGAGTTCGGAGGCCATCGTACGAAAACCATTAGCGGCATTCTCAGCGACAGGCCTTCCTGCTTGGAATGCATCTTCTGCCATTTGCCTTCCGCCGTCTGGGAGATTGTTAAAAGCGGTTCTTAGGTGAGCCTCAACCGTGGCGAGTAGTGTCCGCAATGACGCTTCCACGTTCACAGGCAGAGATTTCTGTGCAGTCTCAAATTGTCTCTGAGCATTCTGTAGTTGTCGGTGTAGCTCAGGGATTTTTGATCTCCATTCAGATTGTACCATAGTAGCTCCGTTGATCAGCTGCTCTAGAACCTGTGCCGCTAGAATCTCAACGGGATGAGGGGATCGCTCTGAGTTTGTGTTGGTTGATGGCTCAGTAGTGGGTGGCGAGTTATATTGAGGCACTCGAATCTCCGGTGACTCAGAATTATTGAGCATCTCTGCTAGCTCAGCCTCAAATGCTTCCATAAGAGACCGAGGCTGATCTCCAGAGACTGATGGCGAGGTAGTAATATGAGGAACTGGGACTTCATGTTGCTCCTCGAGGATAATAGCCTTGGAGGTAGCTTGCATGCCGTTCTTCTGATCATCCGAGTCTTTTTTCGGGACGTTGTCTTCAAATCGCTTCCACAACTCGGTCACAGAGTTTGATCGGCGAATATCAAATATGTGCATCGGCCCGATGTCACTGGGAGAAAGTTCGACGGATTCAAGCTGTGTATTAATGTCCAGGGGCTCCTCAAGGCGCTGAGCGAGCTCGAGAGCGGATCCAACCTAAGGAACAAGGGTGAGATTTTGATTTGATGATAGGGAGCCGACAGGCTGTTGCGAACTTACGGTGATGGTTTCGTCATCATCATCGTCATCCATGTAAGTCAACCTTGCGCGGGGATGGTTTGAGGCTAAATCATCGTAATCTGTAGCAGAGATCTGGACCACTCCTGCAAGAGTACAAGAATCCGCAAGCTGCTGGGGTTGGTTCTGAGTGGATACCCGAAGGTTTCTGATTTGGAAGGGCTTCAACATCGTGGAGAAGATGTCCGGTGAGCCTTGCGGATCAGGAACACGAACAGGTGGGGCGGTATTACAGAATTGAAGACCAAAGAACGAGAAACTAGGGTTGATAGAGTTGAAGAAGTTGATAAAGATATGAAATGGTTTGGAATTATGATGCCTCTGGGGCTAGTTTGGAGATGGGGGGTGTATAACGGGAAAAATGATCACGAGTTTCATATGTTGCTGCCTGTGGCAACACTTTCAATTTTTTCAAGTTCGGATTTTCCAGATGCAAGGAATGGGGCAAGAAATTCAAGAAACTCAGCAAATCCAAAGAATTTCCAAAAAAAAAGTACATGGGATGTTTCAGGCAACAGGATAAAGAGAGAGAGAGAGCATGAGAACATGAAGCTCACTGGTGGATCCCCGGCCAGTCACGTGCCACTAACTTTTCGCCTCGAATTCAAGGCGTCGACTCTGAATGTTACCGCGCATTTGAATGGAGTCAATGGACGATGAATAATACTAATTGAGCATTATGTCCTTATAACGTCTCCCAATGCCTGCGCGACCGTATTCACTCATTTCATCTACCTACATATCTCGTTTCTACGATACTACCAATGGCTGGTCCATTAGAGACGGTACAACGCATGAACGCTTCCGAAACCTAGCATTCCGACAACTTGGATATCACGTCGCGCCATTCGAATACCTATAGAAATCAATGGCGGCCTCGAAGTCTGCGCCATTGCAGACTCCAGCAAATCGCAACGTGAACAACGTCGTATTAGGTGATCTCTTGTTCAAGCCATGGAACCAATCCATCTACCCTGAAGACCTCGTCGCCAAGGATGCCGATCGACTCTACGTCTGTCGCTGGTGCTTTCGATACTCGTGTGATGTGGATATCTTTGAGGAACATAAACGCGCCTGCGAGCATCGCATAACCCCACCGGGCACCAAAGTCTACGACCATGGCGGGTATGCAGTGTGGGAGGTTGATGGACAAAACTACAAACTTTTCGGACAGAATTTGTCACTTTTCGCGAAACTTTTCCTCGACCACAAGACAGTCTTTTTCGATGTCGCAACCTTCCTGTATTATATCCTCACTTTCACCGACCCGGACCACTCTGACAGCTACTACGTGCTCGGCTTCTTTTCAAAAGAGAAACTCTCATGGGACGCGAACAACCTTGCCTGCATTCTGATATTCCCGCCTTACCAACACAAACAGCTTGGGAAGTTGTTGATGGGGGTCAGCTACAAGCTCAGCGGGTGGGACTCCAATGGTGGGTGCATCGGTGGACCAGAGAAGCCATTGAGTGAGCTGGGCCACAAAAGCTATGTCCGTTTTTGGGCCGAACGAATTGCCCGATTCTTGCTCCGCGGCAAACCTAGCGGCGGCTCCCTTGAAACCGACCAACAGAAGCCCAGCTCAACCCCGAGAGGCTCCCGTAAGAGACCCTTGCGCGAGACCATTACTGTTGAAGAACTCGGCCTGGGAACTGGTATGTTGACTGAGGATGTGATCACTGCTCTCAAGAGCATGGGACTTTTTGAACCCCAGGCCACCCCGAAAAAACGTAAATCTACCCGTACAGCTGCGGAGGAAATTACTACACCACCAGGTCAGATGGTCACCATTTGCAAATCCGATGTGTGGGAGTGGGCTCAAGCACATCATCTCTCCCTAGACGATCCAGTCAGGGAAGAAGGCTTTGAGGGACTTTGGCCCCGCGATATTGTGTCTAATGGGGATGGCCAAAGCACTGCCTCAGAAGAAGACTGATTCCCCCAATAAGGCAGCTTCCAAGTTTATGTACGATAGCGCTGATTACTTTATTTCCCTCTTAACGACGACAATGAGAAGCAACGTGAAGTTTGTGCATTTTTGAATAGATTGGCTCTTGGCCCCTAACTTTGTGAGGGAATCAAGTCTTTAACCCTTTTAAACTTTACATGAACCGCCTGACTTCGTAAATGAGAAAAGTGCATTACTCTTCCTGACCACCGGGGCCACCGGCACCAGCTTTGCTCATCTGCCGAGCCTTCAGTAGCTCATCGCACAGAAGGAGGTTAGAGGCGATGCCTGTGCTGGAAGCGATGCAGTTGCGAAGAACACGGAAAGAATCGAAGACACCCTCTTGGATGGGATCCATGGGTTCGCCAGTGACCAGATCCAAACCGACAGTGTTACCATCAGTGGCCTCATCGTGAAGAGCAGCCAGCGAATCCTGGATATCGTGGCCTGAGTTGGCAGCAAGAGTCTTGGGGATGATCAGAAGGGCATCAGCGAACGCACCAACACCCCACTTGGCCTTACCCTTAACGGTCTTGGTGAAGGCCTGGGACTGCAGGTGTACAGCACATGCAACTTGGAATGCACCAGCTCCGGGAATAACACAGCCATCGACAATGGTGTTGTAGACAGAGCGCAACCCGTCACGAACGGCATCCTTAACCTGAGTAATGGTGTGTCCATTAGGACCCTTAATGAGGATAGTCACAGACTTAGGATCCTTGACCTCTTCAACGAAAGTGAACTTCTCCTCGCCAAGCTGGTGCTCGTAGACCAGACCAGCCCAGCCAAGAACATCCGGAGACAAATCCTCAACACTGTTCTGAGCAGTTCCACCACAGACTAGCTGGAGACGCTCCATGTTTCTGCGCTTAGCTCTGCGAAGAGCGAAAATGCCATTCTTAACTAGAACATCCAAGCTGAGGGGGTCGATACCCTTCTGATTGATGACAACGAATCCCTTGTTGGGGTCGTTTCCACAAACCTCCTTCTTGAGTTCCACGATCTTCTGCAGCTTTGCATCCACAAACTTGCGCTCACTCTCAACCAGCTTATCTCTCTGCTCGGCGTTGGAGTAGTAGAATCCGGAGTTAATTTCGGACTTCTCATACTCCAGACTGACGTTCAATGTCAGAATGAAAGCGTTCTCCACCCGCTTGGGCATGTCAGGGTGTCTGGCACCGTGGTCCAAGGCGAGACCACGAATAAGCTGGGTATCCGATGACGACCGGTGCTGCATCGTCATAATCTCAACCATGTGCAAGTCGGGCTTCTCAGGGGCTTTGTGGATGGCGAGCACGGCATCGACAATGTCGGGGGTAAGCTTCTCAGCGAGAGCACCGTTAAGCTTGGTGGAGAGGGAGGTGCGGGCAACAGAAAGCAACAGCTCGCGGTCAATAGAACGCTCGAGCTTGAAGTTTTCAAGGAACTGTGGGTGATATGTTAGATCCGTCCCGAAATCGACTTTCAATCACCATTACATACTTTCAAGGCCTCAGTCTTGGCAATCTCGTAGCCATCAGTGATGACACGGGGGTGCAGACCCTCCGAGATGTGACGCTCCGCCTGCTTCAAAAGCTCTCCCACCAGCAAAACAACAGATGTTGTTCCATCACCGGTAATATCATCTTGTGCGGTCGCAGCGCGAGCGATCATAACCTTTCAATTTCGTCAGCAACGTGTATGAGACTCTCAAGGCGGATTCATCCTACAGCCGTGGGGTTTTGGATTTGCTGTGAAATGTTAGCTTAGAAGCTCCAAGTGCTGTGATTCTGAGGGCAGAACGAACCATCTCCCGCAACAGAACGTTTCCATCTTTGGTCAATTTGATCTATCATAGCAAGCCTGTATCAGAAAAGGGATGTTTCGTGCCGTTCGAGAGGAATCGGGGATTGCATACTGCGCCTGCACCATCGACCAGCCTAACTTTGTCAGCTCCATTGCCTTTGTATGTGAGGTATGTTCGTAGAAAACTTACATCTTCAGAGTTCCCGAAGGGCCCAGGTTGGACTTAAGAACATCTTGAAGACCTTCACCGGCACCGATGTTCACCTTCAAGGCCTCTCCTCTCCGCTGCGTGAAATGTTAGTGTGCGGGCACATCATTGAGGGGCCATATGGGAATATTTTCCATACCCTGGACTCCGCCTTGGGGTTAAGTAGTTGAGTTGCAGACATCTCCCAGGTAATGAATGACAGGGTATCACGTCCAATAACTCAAAAATATTAAATTAAGGGATGGTAGAGCGCTTGTTCCACGTTAGGTCCGCGGCCAAAAAGCCCACATTCGAGCATCCATCTGGTCACGTGATTATATCAGCGGGACGGGTAAACGTATTCTCCGATACCTACCGTCATACCTCCGGTTCGGTGCCTTAGGATTCGCACTAGCGGCAAGAAAAAAAAATTGTCCATTTCCAGCCGTCTCACCAGCAACCCATCGAATTGAAATTTGCGAGGTTTTCTGGCCGGTGTTACAAGTTTTTATCATTATCTTGTGATTGACCTTGTATTGGCCCTAACACGATGGCCGATTTCCTACTTTTCGAGGGCCCTATGGGTTACTCGCTTTTCAAGGTCGCCCACCAAGGTGACTCTGTCGGCAATGCCTTGAAGGAAGTCCAGGAGGGTGTCAATGACCTTGCTAAGTTCGGCAAGATGGTCGAGCTTTCCAGCTTCCTGCCCTTCGAGTACGCTTTATCTGTCTGAATGAAAAGGTTTTCATTTTTCATCGTCCACTAACAATTTGTAGGAACAACAAGCAGGCTCTTGGAGAAATAAATGACATCTCCGAAGGTGTCGCATCCGAGACTCTAGTTTCTTTCCTTGAATTGAACCTCCCCAAGCCGAACAAGAAGAAGAAGGTCATCCTGGGTCTTGCCGACAAGGCTCTGGCAGGAAGCATCAAGTCCGCTTTCTCATTCGTGGACTGTGAGACTGGTGATACCAGCGAGGTCGTCCAGGATCTTCTCCGTGGTATCCGTCTCCACGCTGGCAAGCTCCTCAAGCAGCTGCGCGATGGTGATATGGACACTGCCCAGCTCGGTCTCGGTCACGCTTACTCCCGTGCCAAGGTAAAGTTCTCCGTCCAGCGTGACGATAACCACATTATCCAGGCTATCGCCATTCTGGACCAGCTCGACAAGGCCATCAACACCTTCTCCATGAGAGTTCGCGAATGGTACTCGTGGCACTTCCCCGAGCTCGTCAAGATTGTCTCCGACAAC